ACCTACGGTAGCGGAGGATTTGCCTTCAGCAGGTTTCTGTCGGCAGTCATAGGCTTAATTAACTCGTCGAGTACCGGTTTTATAGACACAATTAAAGAACAATAGGTCGCGGTCACCGGTGACCGCTTGGTGTTTGACAGTTTAATGATTCGAATTTAATTGTTGTTCTATGACGGTCATATTGTTGACATGTTTAGGAGGAAAGATAGCAGTTGTTTTATGTGTCTACCTAAAATACTGACACTCAGGCTAATCTAATTAAAACTCATTACTGACCTGTGGAAAAAGCCCGGAGAAATAGAAAGATTGAAACCCTTTCTATGCAAATTGTAATTTGATTTATATGTCCATATAAATAAAAAGGTTCTGACAGCATCACGGGGTCATAATTAAACATTTCACTCACGGAGCCTCTTTTAATGTAAATCACTTCATTTGTTCCTAATTCGGTCCTAATTACGTCACGTAGCTCCAATTTACATGTCAGATGTTGTAATTGCATTTTGGGAAATCCTCTGTGTGACGTTGAGTGACAATCCCTTTCGTGTTATGTAGAGAAATTGAATATGATTATGATTAATTAGTAGATTGGCTGGCTGAGGAATTGGTGGTGACATCTCATCAGGTGTGATGAGAAGTTGGATAGGAGAGTATCTAGGTGTTATTGAGGTTGTCCATTTACAATGTAGGTATATTATTTATTTTTGGGGATGCTTAAAATTCTATAAGTGTGGGAGAGCCATGCTTCGGCACGAATGGGCCGGCTCGACCGGATTGATACCACGGCCTCACAGAAAACCAAAGTGAAACAACGGTTGCGTTGTGTTTCGTCGTGTGAGTGAGGTTACCGGAGGCCCAATTACCCCCCTCCCTAGTCCCCGTCTCCCGAATCCCTGAATACTCCACAATCCTCAAATTCCCAATTCCCAAAAGGCCGATAACGCACTTGTAACGCCTTGGTGTTTCGAGTGTCCATGGGCGGCACCGATTGCTTACCATCAGGTGATCCGTCTGCTCATTTACCGGCTCATGCTATAAAAAAAAACAATTTTTTCTTCTTATTATGTTAATCTCTGTTTAAATAATACTATGCTACAGGTGCAAAAATGAGGTTCAAAATACAATTAAGTAATAAATAAAGTTTAAAAAACAATCTTGATCGTCATCTTATCGATTAACAAAATAGTTTTAATACTTTACTAAACGTATTTATTTTTTCTGTTGCTTACAGTGTTTGTTCTTAATCTTATATACATAGTTTTAATGGTATATTCTCGAAAGGCAATACAATGTTTAGCGCCTATAGGCGTCTATGTTGACCCGTTGTCTTGTTTGATCGGGCCCAGGCGTTGAGGGCCTGTCTCGAGTACAGTAACAATATTGTGTCACCTTGTTGACTATACTGTTAATGCCCCCTTTGTTACCAAGGCGAAACAGCAACGAGGTTTTTCAATGTGAATTTTCACGTGAAACTATGGTAAAACATACTAACTAAATTAGATACTGCGGTTTATTAATGTAACTGTTAGAAAAGGTTGCTCAACCAGTTTCAAGCTACGACCGGGGCTCTTAATCATGAGCATTATGTACAAAAATGGAAATACAGAATTCTAAATTGAGAAGCATAAAGCACCTAAAACCTAGTTATGTTCCAAAAACAGCCGTTTTTATTCTTGCAGATTTTAGCTCCATTTTTATTATTGTCAATTTGCCATCTATTCTATGGGCGGGTATTAAAAACTTGATTTAAAACGTTTCAGCCAAGCGGCCTGTTATTGCGTGAACTGGTCCGTGAGAATCAAAGCGTGAGTTTTAGCTCCGTACAAAATATGAATTTTCAAACATGAAGTCATTTTTGTGTAGCCACATGTGACATTTTCAAAGTTTGTAGTTTAATTGCACGTTTGACGAAGGGACTAGGCGACCGGCTGTTGTTTAGCGTTATACGTGTCCGAAAAATGTTTGTTGAATTCATGTGTCTTCATTTCGAGTCTGTATGTGATGAGTAAGTGACACTCAGACATCAGTGATCCGTCACTGATCAAATTAATTTTAAGGTACTCCCTCACAGGGAGCATTCACGTGTAATGTAACATATAGATTCGACTTTGAGCATTACATTACAATAATACCTCCCTGACTAACGAGCATTTGCGTGTAATGTAACATATTGATTTGACTTCAAGAAACATGGAGGAAGTGGAGCGCATTGATGTTACAAGTTGTATCAAGATATTACACAGTGTATCATTACAAGGTGCGCATTGTAATGGTCAGTTCTCCTCCTTCACTGATGTAATGCTCAGATCTGTAACGTTATATTACATGAGAATACTCCCGGTGAGGGAGCACCGTTATACAAGTGCCAATGATACAGAAGAAAAAAATTCATCGGGAGCAGTTAAACTAACCAATCTAAAGTAATGAGCGTAACCAAGAAGACTTATAGGATTTATAAAGGCACGGCACTACTAATCTACATTTATTTTTGACTGATTACAAGACATTCTAGACCATTCCGCAATAACCTTATTAATAATAGCTTCAAAACAATAAGCATACCACAATTCCAGAGCTTCAATCCATTATCAAATTGTGACGTAAAGTGATGATAGCAAGTTTGTACTACAAATCGGTGCAATTAATCTTCGCTCACGACATCTGGCCATTGAGTTTGAGTCTGAATCCATTAATTTGCATCCAGCATACAACACTATGCTATCATTGCTCTAGTTCTCAGTTATTGACCTTGGGCCTTGGATAGAATAGTCTAAAATACTTACTAGTAATTAATGTTCAACATATGTATATATTAATACAGGATGTAAACGAAGCACTGTCTGAAAAGACAACTAAAAATTTTTCACAATTTTAATAGTTTTGTGTTATTCATACAATACAAACTGGTTTTTAGTAGCGTTATCCTTACTGTATATTTAAATACGGTTTTATAAAATATTAGCTTCTATGTAGAATTTGCGGATTTTTTTGCTAATGTATTTGGCGCAGACATCTGGTTGAATCTGCTACCTGTTTGAATGACTAGTGCGTTATGGGCTCGCTGCCATTGCAGCGGTAAGTCCCCTCTTTGAGGTGTGGCTTGAGAGACGCTACGGCGTCCTCACCTACCGCCTGACGCAGATCTTCACTGGACATGGAAGTTTTGGGAGGTACCTGTGTCTGATGGGGTGGGAGAAAACGTCCGGGTGTCATCACTGAGAGGACCGCCCTGAGGACTAAGGCCTTATTTGACGAGGAACTTGACGATGGATGGTTGGTAAGCAACCTCTACCACTGGACTTTTGCAACACCAGAACAGTTTACACAGGCTTTCAAAGATTAGAAATTTCATATTAAGATAATACAGACGTAGAGTTGATAATATGGTCTCATACTCCTAATAGCTCTTAAAAATATAAATTGAAACAAAAAATACTAGTTGTGAATATTTGTCTTCTAAATTTTTTATTTAATATGTATCCTTGTTTTATAATTCTGAATTTCTTGTCCAGACAGTCTGAATATTCAAGAAGGTTCATATTTCCATATTTTAGTTTCGAGGTTAAAGGCCTGTCTAGCTTACAAAAAATTGCAAAGGTATTATATATTGGTCTGACATTGACTAATACTTATGTAAAATTTCAGCACAAGATTTAAGTGAATAATAAAGAACGAAGCTTCTTTCTTACCTACCGGTTTACTCATATGACTATTTGACGAGGTCACATCACATCACATCACGGCCATCACAGCCACTGCTGACCAAAGGCTGTTTGCTCAATGCGGGTTGGTGATATCAAACTTATAATTAGAAAATTTAAGCTCAGGTTTTCTCACGACTTTTTCCTTCACCGTTTTTTAGTGGTGTCTAAATAATTTTAGAAAGTACATTTAACTGGGAAAAATTCACATTTGTACTTGCAGCTGGTACGTTTCGAACCCAAACTCTCATGTATATAAAGTATCTGGAACCTTCGCTCCACCACCAGGTATTTCACAAAAACAAGCCACGCTAGGGGCTTACGGTCATGAGCAGTTGGTTGCGTGATATTTGCCACGTCGTGCATTGAAAGGCATAAACTATACTTTAATAATATGTCTCATGAAAGTTATACAAAAATATATTAGTTAGTGATATCCAATGCAATTAAAGTATATCAAAAAATATGTGCTGTAATTTCTAACATTCTAATAATAAATCTAACGTCTAAAGAAGTTCAGTTGCTTAGCATAACAGATTATAATAGGTCCAGGGGGGAGTGAAATGGGAGTAATTATGCAAATAAGAACCGTTTTTTGACTATTCATATCTCACCCGATTCCAAGTATCCCTTTAAGAACGAAGATATTGAAAAAAAAAACCAAAACTTCTTGCTGAAATCCAATAAAACTTAACAAACTCCATCTTGAATTTTAAGGAGAAAAAGATGTATTCTAAGAAGAAGTTTTTAATCTTTTCTACGACATCAGAAGTTGATCTATTGGAATGAATGCGAAGTTCGTCTAAGAGAACGCTCAACTATAAAACCTTTGATAGTAATTGTTCTAAACTTGGTCGTTCACTTCAAAAACATGTTGGTTGTTTAACAAACTAACAACGTTGATTAAAAACTTCGTGTAATGAAGAATGAGAGGCTATTGTTACGAGGTTCATCTTTTCTGGAACTTGATTATTATCTTTCTATCCTTTTGTACAATTAAGTTAGTGTATTCGGAGCCGCGGAGAACCTAACGGGTTACCGGGGCTCCGGCTCGAAGTGCAGGAGTAGGAACGGGGTGGTTTTAAGAATACTCTTTTTTATACGGAGCTCGAAAGGCTCCGGCTCGAAGTGCATGAGTAGGAACGGGGTGGTTTTTAGTCAGTAAGAGTCTGACACTCCCTCCCCCCTCACCCGGGCGGGAGAAGTCATGCGATGATTTCCCCCATTAAAAAAAGTGTAAACTCTTAGTTTTAAAAACTTGTGCATTGTATAGAATTCTATGAGTAATTATTATTCTAGATGATGTCTAATGCATGGAAAATAATAGGATAACATATAAAGTAAATAATAAGGTGATAATTTTGACTTTTCTGTCTATCTGTGTGTGTGTCAATGGCACCGTAGCTCCGGAATGTATGGACAGATTTGATGCGATATTTCTTAATTGATAGTCCTATTCGTCATTGTGGTTCTTTGGGTACGTATGATATTTTTATTTCAGCATTGTGTGTAGCTTATAAGCGGTTTTTCATAACTAATGCACTTTTTAGACTTTCGACTGCCTCGTTGGCCGAGTGGTCGCAAGTGCAACTGTCGGGCAGGGGGTTTTGGGTTCGATTCCCGAGTCGGGCAAAGTAATACTGGGTTTAAAAAAAATCTAAGTAATAGCACGGAGTCTGGAATTGTGCCCGGTATATGGCAATAGGCTCACTGCCTATTACATGGGACTCATAACATTAATAGTGAAGGGTGGGTGTTACATTGTACAGTGACATAATGTGCACCTTTGCCTACCCCTTCGGGAATAAAAGGCGTGATGTTATGTGCACTTTTTAAATATTGAAATTAAATTGCACTTTTTGATAGCACTTGACATATTTTTTTATTCTTATGTCGTGAGTTAAGCCGGGGATAAAAATTTAAACCTAATTCGTTTTAATTTCAACCGAGTAAAGTTTAATATTGCATACTAAAACACACATATTGTACTGATGGCTCCCTATAATGCATTGTATGCAAACGCAAACACTGTGGCCAAACAGACTTTAGCATTCCACTTTAACCTGACCTCTTCAACCATGTAATATATCCCTACCAAGAGCTCCACCTAAGATAGATTTTATAGTGTAATATGCTGTCTATACATAGAAACATAGAGTACGTATAATCCAAAGTGTTCGTTCGAAGGAAATTGGACTTTTTTCATTGTAATCTATGCATCTTTTGATGTTGGCGTCTTAAAACGAATTTCGGGGGAGGTCTGACAAGCGGAAATAATTGCCATTCCGTATTTCGGAACACGCTCAAGTGGAAGGTCGTTCTTGTGTCAAAATTGGATAGGTTATCATTTTATTAAGGCGTTTCTTTTGTAATGTAGATGTTTTACATCGTGTTATCTTTAATTAGGTAAGCAAAAGTTATGGGATAGTGGGTAAACGAGCAGATGGATCGAATAGTAAGAGTGTTAATGCTGCTCATGGACATTAATTTGTAATACCAGAGGAGTTACAGATGTGTTGCGGTTGTATTTATTATTTTAGATGGATTCTTTATGGAATAAGCCGGTAAACGAACCGACAGTTCACCTATTGGTTAGTAATTGTCGCCGCCCCTGGACACCCGAAACACTAGAGGCGTTAAAAGTGCGTTACCGGTTTTCTGAGGATTAGGAATTAAAAAAAATTTAGTTTGTTTCGGCATTTCTTCTCAGAGTAGTCAGTTAGGAAATGTCGACCTCATCGTTTGCTTGATAAAATTGACGTGTAAAAGTGCTGCCTTGTAGCCTATTTGCAGAAATAAATTCACTTGTTTCACTAAAGATTGTTGGGGATTCAGGGATTGCGCATATTAAGGAGGATGGTAATTGGGCTACTTGTAACCTCACTCTCACGACGAAACAAAACGCAAGCGTTGCTTCACGTGGGCTTTCTGTGAGGCCGTGGTATCACTCCGGTGAAGTCGGCCTATTCGTGTCGAAGCATAGCTCTCTCACACTTAAAACAAAATCCTCAAAGTGTGAGTAGTAGTTTTCAAATAAGTGACCTGAAAGAATTTGGTATAGGTATAAATAAGTGCAGTACATTTTCCGAGTCTTAAATCACTCACACAGTTGTGTCCAAGTTAGTTCACGAAGGTAAACACTGTCCTCAACAGTACCACAGTTAAATTCCCTTGAGCCACTTCAGTTCACTACCTAGAGACCTCATTTATATCTATGTGGTTCATCCTAACACAAATACCCAGGAATTGGTCATGCAGGTATTGTACAGTACAATGGAAGAGTTTCCCGAGGGCCAAGTTAGTTTTCTGACACAGTATTTGTTTGGTACAATTCAGAAGCAAATAGAATTTTTATAATAACTATCGTGAGATATACTAAATTAACTAAAAATCGCTGGTAACTCGCGTGAATATACTGAGAAAAGCTCTACTAATTTCGATCCACAGAGGGGTTCTTCCTCATGAGCAGCGTGCGCGGCCGCGGCGATGTCGCGCAGCCTACTGAATAGAATTTTGGTAGAATATTACACTTTTTTACATGTAAGTTGCATTACAGTTCTGTCTTTGTTGAGAATGTGGACAGAAACACAGTTTTTAATTTAAATTACTCTCGAATTAAGGCGTTTATTGTTTTTTTCGGTAAAATGTACCTGTACGGGAGTCTCAATGCTGTGAACAGCAAACAGTCGATGGGCAAAAGCATTCAAAAATTTGTGAGTGATTGCGATCCTCTCAAGCACCATTTTTTGCAATAGGGTAGACGACTAATTTTTATTTTAATGTCCGTCTGATAGATTATTTAAAAACATTAGACACGTATTTTTTCTTTTCTCACAGAAACGAATAGTTTCGAAGATATATTGATTTGAAATGTCGCGTGACGTCACTTCTCAGTACATTTTATACTAAGAAATGACGTTTTAGTCCCCACTCCTAAATTTTGATTCGTTTTATCTAAGTATTGTTTTATTATACGACAAAATAAAAAAATACGTGTCTAATATTTTTTCATTACCTAACTTACGGACTAATTATATTTTTAATTTTCATACCCTGTCATCATCCTCATTGCATTAAGTACAATATTTCAATAATCGTCTTCTGGCAGATGAAATGAAATGGAATAAAATTGGACTGTCACTCAACTAATACCCTTTTATTTAGTAAAATAATTATAGTAGCTAGTCAAATCTCAGTAACACGATGAGATTGGCGTATCCATGTGGATTAAATAAGCTATGATCCGATATGAATGGCTCGGCTCGACCGGAGTGTTACCACGGCGTCACATAAAACCGTTTACCGGCTTCCAAAATAAATAAAAAGAAAAAATATCCCAATCACAGGAAGCTAAAGTAAAATGTGTTTCTTCCATTATTTCTTTAGCGAGTCTCATAATAAGAAAATGGTCTAGATTCTGTATTTTAAAGTCGCTTATTCTTATAAATTACAAACTAGAAGTAAGACAGGTGTTACATTGTACAGGGAAGATAAAAATGTCCAAGAAAGGAAGCGGAAACATGACATTTTTCTTTTGTGTAGCTTTCAAAGAAGTTCTCCTATAAAGAAATACTAAGGATTTATTGTTATAAAGTCTAAACTTATCTTTCCAAGATAACAAAGACATTGTTCAGTGTTTACCTTTACCCCAAGAAATTGAAGTGAGGTGATACCTAAAGATTTATATTGGTAAATAATGGTAAGCGTCTCTAATCTTTATTTGCACAGTTAGTAATTTAATTGTAATATCATTATACATACATTAAATTCGAATGGCAATATCGTTCATTTGGACATGCACTATTTATTGAAGCATATAATCTTATAACTACAATAATTTATAAATACACTAGAACCTGCCCCGGTTTTGCACGGTTAATAAATGTTTCAAAACAGTTTATGTTTTTATAATAACTATCGTGAGACATACTAAATTAATAATCTCGGGTTCTTCACGTGACATGCGATACCGCTGCGACCGCGCACGCTGCTCATGAGGAAGAACTCCTCTGTGGTGCCCTCTTCGAAAATAGTAGTGCTTTTCTCAGTATATTCATGTGAGTAACCCGCGATTTTTAGTTAAAAACCGTTTATTTATTACGCCACGATACACACGTCTTCTGATGTTTTTTTACTAGATATAGTATGCCTATAAACCTTTCTTTTGAATCACTCTATCTACTTAAAATGCGCATCAAAATCTGTTGTATACATTTAAAGATTGAAATATACACAGGGACAGACTAAAAATCGACTCTGTTTTAAAAGTATTATGTACTGATTTCGTTTACGCCTGGCTTTTTGTATCTTTTCCTCTTCTACTCAAAAACCAATAAACAGATTTAGATGAAATTTGACACAGACAAGTAATAGTATGGAAAAACTGCCTCATTGGCCGAGTGGTCGCAAGTGCGACTGCCGGGCAAGGGGTCTCGGGTTCGATTCCCGGGTCGGACAAAGCACTACTGGGTTTAAAAAAATATCTCAGTATATGGCTATAGGTTCACCCTCTATTAAATGGGACTTATAACACAAAATAGTGAAAACTGGGTGTTACATTGTACAGTGGCATTAAGTGCCGTAATGTGCATCTCTGCCTACTTCTTCGGGGATCAAAGGCGTGAAATTATGTTATGTAAGTAATAGTCTGGAATATCACATAGGCTGATTACATTATACCTGTAACACGGCAAAGACGTCGGTAGAAACTTCGGTATACAAAATAATACAGTGAAATTCTCGCTTTTGGACCTAAAATCTTGCTATGTATTATTTACGTACCAGGATACCAGGAGATAGCTACAGGTATAACCCTACTTTATATGGAGATGTATGACAATACTCTGAACAATTTCACGGGAAACTGCGTCGTACAGACGGCAACACATCAAGCTACGATGAACCAGTATAAACTGACCGTGGAATGCGTGTAAAGATTATACAAAGTGAGTTCATGATATAATGGATATGTATAGTTCGATGAGTGGTCGTGTATACCTGTCTCAATTTGTTTTTATTAGGTAGATATGCGGTTTTATTTAGCCGTATACGTACGAGTAGTCATTTCAATAACAGTAACTTTTACGTATTTTTTGAAAGGGCCTTTTATTCTGCGTGTTAAGGTAAAAAATTGTGGTAGCTGTGTAAAAAGAAATTGCGTGAGATTAGTAACGTTAGATTGAGATTTTTAGAGCTAGTATAGGTGGTGTCTTTTTGTTCAACATTCATATTTATACTCGTATATTACAAAACAGTTTTTTTTACATAACAGGGTTTTAGGTAGGCTGAGGTGCACATTACGGCTGCACAATGTAACACCC